ATTCTGCAATGTATACTTCCCAGAATATTTCCTTACTTGCAGCGTGGTTTGATAGCAAAAAAGCATTGCATCCTAAAATAGTTAAGTCAATTCTTTGTTAAGCTGTTGTGATTTTACGGTTAGTAATTATTTATGATAAAAAAGGAAAAACAAAGGACACGCGATAAGATTGCAGAGAGTGTTTTACGTAAACTCAGATATTACAAAAGTCTATCTATGTCTTCATCGTCTGTCCACTTCCAGGAAAATATTATTAAGAATTACTAAGAAATTTCATTATTTTTATTTGAATATGGGAACAGACTTTTCGCTCAATAAAACAGATGCCTACGATAAGCGTGCATTTTAAAATTAATAAATGTATTACAAATCTAATAAAAGAGGATTAAGCAGTGGATTGCACCAATACATATTTTAAAATTGTAATTTATTCGTGATGTACTTTCTAATCTACCAAGCTATTCCATAAATCTGCATGAGAAATAATTCTAAAATAATTCTAAAATTCTAAAGATAAAATCTCTGAATTTTTGGGGTATTCGGTAAAAAGAAGGTCTAAAGATGAGAGTCTGGTGTTCTTTAGACTACATAACTGATTTTAAAGTAAAATTAATTTATTATTATCCCAAAGGGTCGTTAGACACAAAGGACTATTAGTTTCAAAACGTCATTTTGCGTCGTTTCACTTTCTACGTTGGTTCACTTTTCAGACTGTTGCCACCACCAAATATTATCGCCATTTTTTATATTTAAAGAAACTAAATAACAAAGAATCTGCATGAATGTTTCTCGCACTGTAAAAAACCAATGATACCTAGAGCCATCAAATTTTGAATAACGTAGTCCTACAACCAAACATGGGCCCCAAATTTTGAATTTCGAATTTGTTTTATTATCTATTTCAAATTTTGTAAAACTTTAAAGAATTTTTGATTAACAAACTCAACGATTTCAAAGGGAGCAAAAGCGGGAAAAAAAAAAAAAAAAAACATTTTTTAATCTCCAGTGTGCGAGACTGTCTATCGGAAATTGTAAAGATATGCTGTTTTAAAATATTTTGTGATATTGCTTGTTGAATTTTATCTGGTTTAAGTAAGTTTTAACATGATGTTCAATAAGTAAAGGTAACACACAAAACGTTAAGAAAAACGCCCCATAGGGCGTAATATAAATTCTGAAAGCTTTCAGATTTTCTTTTTTTATAAATATTTTATTCTGAAATCGTCAAACTTTTAGTTTTTCTCCGTGTATTTCTTTGCATATTTTATGTAGTCGCTCCAAAAGTATATAAATGACGAATGAATCAAAATGTACTTTTAAGAAAGAACACCAGTATAACTTATAGATTAAATGAACTTAACTGTGATCTTAATGCAATAAGCGATTTCTTTACGATTCTGCCGACCTTACGAATCATAATAAAGTAAATCTCCCAGACGATTTATGATGTCTGTTTAGTTTGATATCAAATGACTCTGATTTAGGCAGAAGGCCCACCAGCAACCGAGCGGTAAAAGTCTCGGAACACTGGTAGTTCGGCCTGACTTTCGAATCCCTTTAACGGGCTGGCTGCATGGACGTTTTCGTGTTTTCCCTCCCATGTGTAACATATATACGAGCCAGTGCCCTTAGAAATTCCTCCACGAAAGCATCCCTCCCTTTAGGCAGATAGCTATCGAGTGCTTTGCCATAATCAAATAAATCCAACTCATTTAAGCAAATGGATTGGATTGGATTGGATTATTTAATTTTAGCAAAGCACACGAGGGCTATCTGCCTAAAGGGAGGGATGCCTTCGTGGAGGACTTTCTAAGGGAAACTGGCTAGTATACACGTTACACATGAGGAAAAACACGAAAACGCCCATGCAGCCAGCCCCCGTTCGCGGGATTCGAACCTCGGACTGAACTACCAGTGTTTAGCGTCTTTACCGCTCGGCCGCTGATGGGCCCCATTTAGGCAAATGAGTTGATATTAAATGAATTGGTTGTAACGTAAAAGCCAAATAAATCTCTCTCAAAATTTTAATCCCTTTCTATTATTTCATGAAAATAATTGCATAAGTTGCTTTTTATGCTGTCACACTGCACGTCACAGATATTTCAAGTTTAAAAAAACGAAACTGAACGCATGAGGTATTTCTTTACTTATCTATATAGATATTTTTAACGACCATGTACTCTCTGATTCGACAGATAAAACATTCATATTGCTTTTTCATAAATTTGCATGTTATTAAAAGTTTTTTTTTTTTTAACTAACAACTGTGATTCTAGTTATAACTAGTTAAAGAGCAAAGGAAAGATTTCAGATCATAAATTAATGCTATTACACTTAATGTTAATTACATTTAATTAAAGTAACTCACAAAAGATAAAATAATAGTAACAAAATAACCAAGAAGAAAGTAATCAAAATTATTAGGAAGAGTTTATTTTTTATTCAGGAAGACGTCACGCAATTTTGCATTTTAAATATTGCGCTAAACTGTAAACAAGAAAAATTGCCGAACAGAACTTTCGAAGTCCAAAAATTACGGGATTATTTAAATACATACTTTCTTAAAAGTATTAGAGTAAATTACAGGAAATCTCTGAACGATTAAAGTAAAAGGAATTTCATTTAAGGGATCATAATAGTTTACTTATAAAAATGTAAACTTTAGAAATCTCAGATCTACGTACAGTATTGATAGCTCATGCAGTGGAGTTGTACTTCAGTAATCGTCACGAGATGGCGCCAGTGACTAAACAGTTTCATCTCTTAACGTTGGTTGGGTTAGCAAATTTTTATCTGATAACTTGAGCACCTCAAGGTATTCTGCTGAATATGCTAAAATGTCTCAAACAGAAAGACTGATGAATAAACTTATAAAATCGGAAAATAAGCATTTTTCTATTAGATTAAAAAAGAAATTCAGCATCTACTTTGATATGGCGTGATTCTTGTAACACTTCTCGTAGCAAAGAAAAAAATACTAAAAAAATATGAACACTTAGTGGATTAGTTAACTGATTAAAAAGCCCATCAGACGTGTCTTCCTAAACTGAATTTTATGATTTAAGTGTGAAGAACATGATATTTAATAAATAAAGGTAACACACAACTTTTAAAAAATACCCCTTTGGGCGTAATATAAAATCTGAAAGCTTTCAGGTTCTTTTACCTTTTTAATTTCACCCAAAAATTTTTCACAATAAATATCGTTTGCAAAATGCTCAGTAATGTGTTTTGTTATATATTCGTTGTATAAGCCAATGTTTGTGTAATTCGTTTGTTAACCAAAAAAAATTACACATTGTTGGGAATGGCATCACTAAGCCAACGAATCAAAAGCCAGATAGAGACTGACGTCATGGGACGCCAGAGGAAAACGAACAGTTCCGGTTTAGTTAGCTAAGAACGATGTTTGCATGATGTGGCTAGATAGATATTGTAGCTAGATAAATATTTCATATTCTTTTAACTTGTCTTTATGTGTAAATAAAGCTTTTTGCTTAAATTTAAATGAAGTACTCCATTTATGACAAGATAGCTGTTAATTCATCGGGTAGATGACTTACGAATCCCTTCTGAGCTAGCCATTGTTCGAACGTAACGCCTTACGTAACATAACATTTGTGGCGCCAAGACGTGGGGCGCGATAACAGCTAAAATAAATTGAAAATGGAGCTTACACAGCTGAAAACCGAAAGAAAATGTCTAAGAACTTCCTTTACCACATGTGCAAACAAAATTGATGCAGAACTGAAATCAGATATTCTTGATTTGAAGCTACTTTCGATTCTGGAACAACAGCTTAGAGACAAGTTTAATCGACTTGAAATTTGCCAAAAGGAAGTAACGTCGCTAATTCTACAATCTAAAGAAGCTGAAAAGCTATATGAAGAAGATTTTATTTCGTCTGAGCCTTATAGAGATAAATATTTTGAACTGTGTTCTCAAATCGAAAAGCTGTCGAAGAATCCTTTACCTACTGAATTACCAGAGAAGCGCAAATTTAAACTGCCGAAGATCGAACTAAAGAAATTCAACGGCGAAGCAAAAGAATTTTTGACGTTTTGGAGCCAGTTTTCGAAGATCCATGAAGATCCGACGATTCCAGATGAAGATAAATTCCAGTACCTCCTGCAAGCAGTTGTTCCTCAGTCCAAAGCCGCACGGGTAGTGGAGAGCTTTCCGGCAACGGCGTCGAATTATCCGAAAGCAATCGCCCAGCTTCGAGAGAGGTTTGGAAGAGAAGACTTACTTGTACAGATATACGTCAGAGATCTTCTAAGCATGGTTATGCGTAATGCAAGCAGTGGACGTGTGAAGACGGATCTTCCCACTCTCTACGATGATTTAGAAACCAAGATTAGAGCTTTAGAAAGTCTTGGAAGAACGCAAGAGAAGTATGGTGATTTCTTAACGCCTTTAGTTGAATCCTGCCTGCCCGAAGAAGTATTAATTGCTTGGGAGAGAAACAGAAATTTAAAAGAAGCACCTCAGCCTGATGACCGATGCCTACAAGAAGTGAAAGGAGAAGAGATGGTCGTGTTAGCCCGCACTGGGTTTGGTTCTAATCATATTTCTAAGAAAAGGATACACTAAATAAAAATTTAGATATCGCCACCGCAGCTGCGTTAGTAAGTACATCAAATTCTGAGAGCCCAGGTAAGCGCAATTTTAACTGTCTCTTTTGTGAAAAACGGCACCCAACTAAAGAATGTTTTTCTGCTAGAAATATGACATTAGAAGCTAAGAAAAATGTATTAATTAAAAAAGGGGCCTGTTTTGGATGTTTCAGATTTGGACACACTTTTTAAAACATGTCGAGTAAAAAATTCTTGCATGTACTGTAATAAACATCACCATTCTTTAATGTGTGTCCCAATCGCCAAGAAAAAGCGCAAATGAAAAGTCTAAAAGGGACGTAACTGAAACCAGTACATTAACTAATAACTGTAAAATAGAAAATGTTTATTTAATGACTCTAATAGTTAAAATTAAATTTAAGAATGTTGAGCTTAAAGTACGCACATTACTGGATACAGGTTCTCAGCATTCGTATGTCAGTAAAAAATTAGTAGAGAATTTAAATTTAAAAACCATTAAGGCAAATTAAATTGAAGCATTCGTTATTCGGTGAAAGAGAAACGCGAACGCAGATTCACGATGTTTATAATTTGTTGATTTCGGCATTAGATGAAACTTTCTCCTTTCAAATCGAAGCACTTTCCGAGAGCAAAATTTGTGGCACAGTGCCAAAAGTGAACGATAGTAAAATTATTAATGAACTGAAAGATAGAGGCGTCAGTTTGTCTGATTTGGGTTCTTCTGATCGTGAGATTGATCTGCTTTTGGGAGCAGATATTGTGGGCAGTTTATTTACTAATAAATCTGTTCGGTTGGAGTCAGGGTTATTTTTGATTGACACTTGTTTGGGACATGTGTTAACTGGGAAGCATGAGTCATTTGGAGATAGAAATGATGATACTGTTTTGAATGCAATTTCGTTGTATGTTAGTAATTATTCGATAAAAGATTTGTGGTCTTTAGAATCCATAGGTATTTCAGATCCCATTGAAAATAATAGAAAGAATTTAGAACATTCTAGAGTTTTGGAAGAGTTTAAAAATAATGTGAAAATTCTTTCAGACGGTAGATATGAACTTTGTTTACCTTTTAAATCTGATGTGGCCGATTTGCCGACAAATAAAGATTTAACTTGGAAGCGGCATAAAAGGATGTGCCAGCGAGCACAAGATAAAGCATTTTTAGAAGAATATACTACGATTTTCCGGGAATGGGAAAAATTGAATATAATTGAAAAGGTAACTGATAATATTGAGACGGGACATTTTTTACCTCATCGGCCAGTAATTAAGGACAGTACCACTACAAAAATCAGACCTGTCTTTGACGCGTCAGCCCGAGAAAGTGGTAAATGCTCTTTGAATGACCTTTTGTATAAGGGTCCGAACTTACTAGAAATAATTCCAGAGATACTTGATAGGTTTCGAATTCATCCAATAGGATTATCTTCAGATATTGAGAAAGCATTTCTGATGCTAAGTATAGCCCCTCAACATAGAGATTTCTTGCGGTTTTTTTATCCGTCCGAGAGTGAACAGATTGTTTACCGACATCGCAGAGTAGTATTTGGGTTAAAGTCGAGTCCATTTTTATTAGCAGCCTCAATTACACATTTATTAGATAATGTACCATCTGAATTTGATGCTATAGCACAAAAACTGAAACATTCTTTTTACGTAGATAATTGTGTTTCTGGTGTTGCAAATATTGAGGAGCAGGAAAGATTTTATTGTAAATGCAAAAGATATTTTGTCACGGGGTTGCTTTAATTTAAGAAACTGGGAGAGTAATGTAAAATGTAAGTATGTTTCTAATAGTACTGGTGTCACGAAAGTATTGGGAATTTTGTGGGATCTTGATAAGGACACTCTTAAGTGTAATTTAAACTTTAATCTTGTAAGTGAAGATCAGAATTTTACTAAGAGAATCATTTTAGCTACAGTTCACAAAATATTTGATCCAATAGGTCTGTTGAGTCCTGCAATCTTACCACCTAAGCTTTTACTGCAGGAAACGTGGAATTTAAATCTAAAGTGGGATACTCCCTTACCAGATAGTATTCAAATGTCTTTTAAAATTTTAAAAGATGGTTTAGAGAAATAGATGCATTAAGAGATATCGAAAATCTCACGTTATGTTGAAATAAATGATTCCACTGAGATGCATGTTTTCGTAGATGCGTGCAAAGAGGCATATGCCACCTGTATTTTTTTTAGAACGAGAACCTCTCAAGGGGTAAAAATTTACTTTGTTAGAGCAAAAACCAGAGTTGCACCTTTGAAGAAAGTAACGATCCCTAGGTTAGAGTTAATGGCTTGCTGCATTGGTGCCAGGTTGGCATATTCAGTGAAGCAGGCTTTAAATGCCCATGAGATTAAAACAATATTTTGGAGCGACTCTAGGGTAGCTTTATACTGGTTAAAAGAACGTGGTGATTGGACAGTTTTTGTCTCGAACAGAGTAAAAGAAATAAATAATCTGTTTCCTAATAATGAATGGCGACATGTGCCAGGGAAAATGAATCCCGCTGATCTGATTTCGCGAGGGTGTTCCCCTAAGAAATTGTTAGAATCCTGCTGGTGGAAAGGCCCGGCATGGTTGTTGCAAGCAAGAGACAACTGGCCTGACACCGAAATATTGATAACGGAAACACCCGAAATAACACTTGAAAGGAGAAAGGTTAGGTTATGTAATATTAATTTGTCGGAAGAGAAGAGTCCCGTGGTATGCCATTAAATTCTCAAATTTCCATTCAATAGTTAGAATGGTTGCATGGATATTGAGATTTATCAGTAATGTAAGATCGCGTCATGATACTAGACGGGGGGGGGAGAACTTCTAACGCAGGAGATTGAAAATGCTGAAATTCTGCTTATTCGTAATGTGCAAGCTCAATTTTTTCCTAATGAAACCTCTTTTCGGAACTTGTGTGTTTTCAAAGATGTGAACGGAATTATCAGAGTTAAAACTCGAATTACTGAACGCATAGATAAGCCTTTCTTCATTTCACCTATTCTTCTTCCTGATAAATGTATCTTTACTCAAAGACTGATTGAATATTTTCACCGAGAAAACTGTCATGCTGGAACCCAGATATTACTAAGCATATTGCGTGAAAAGTACTGGATTACAAGAGGAAGAAGAGCGATACGTAGTGTTCTGAAGGACTGTATTAAATGTCGACGATACAAAACTAAATCTCTCATCACTGAACCAGTTTCCTTACCTGCTGATAGAGTGGAAAATGCTGCAGCTTTCGAAGTAGTTGGTATTGACTTAGCAGGTCCCCTATTTGTAAAACGTGGGGACAAAGTATGGATGGTTCTCTACACGTGTGTGCTCTTTATAGAGCAATTCATTTAGAGTTAATAACGTCGCTTTCCACTGATGCTTTTTCTGTTATCATTTAGACGTTTTGTTGCTAGAAGAGGAAGACCTAGAGTGGTTTATACAGACAACGGTACAAACTTTAGGGGAGCTTATAATAATTTTTTAGAAATTGATTGGAGTAAAATAACTCGACAAACAGAAATACAGAAGATCGAATGGAAATTCATTCCCCCCACTGCTGCCTGGTGGGGCGGATGGTGGGAAAGACTTGTTCGAGTAGTCAAAGAACTCCTTAGGAGAACATTGGGCAGAGCTGTTCTTACCTATGAAGAACTGGAAACAGTTATGTGCGAATGTGAAAGGGTAGTAAATTCGCGACCCTTGACATATTTATCCGAAGATACAGAAGACTTAGTTTCACTTACACCTGCCATGTTTTCTGACCGATAGATCCAATTTAGATGTAACTGATATAGACACAGTAGACACCAATCATCTCAGGAAAAAGAATCAGATTTCGTGCAAAATTAATGGAAGATCTCCGAGTACGTTTTCGAAAGGAATATTTAGGACTACTTATTCAGAAACGACAGCAAAATTCACACTTTCCAAATATTCGAGTGAATGACGTTGTGTTGATAGGAGATGATATCAAAAAGAGATTGAATTGGCCTTTAGCCAGGGTTACGGAACTGATTCCAGGAAAGGACGGTAAAGTGAGAACAGTTAGATTAAGAACGCAAACTAACAATTTAGTACGTCCGATACAACGAGTGTTTCCCCTAGAAATCCAAGATGATGATTTGTCAGGTTCATGTCATCCAAGTGATCCTCAAAAACATCAATCTGCTGTAAAGTCTTCAGATTCTCATTGTGGAGACGACATGAATACCTCTCATCATTCAGAAATTTCTGGGTCACCCCGATCTCCGGACCCCACTGATGTTTCTGATGTATGTGACAGTTCTAAGACTATAAAAACACGAGCTGGTAAAACTGTTAAGATGTCACTTAGACTGAACTTGATAGACTTGAATATTTTGAGTAGCTATCCAGCAACTCAAAGGGGGGAGGATGTTGGGAATGGCATCACTAAGCCAACGAATCAAAAGCCAGATAGAGACTGACGTCATGGGACGCCAGAGGAAAACGAACAGTTCCGGTTTAGTTAGCTAAGAACGATGTTTGCATGATGTGGCTAGATAGATATTGTAGCTAGATAAATATTTCATATTCTTTTAACTTGTCTTTATGTGTAAATAAAGCTTTTTGCTTAAGTTTAAATGAAGTACTCCATTTATGACAAGATAGCTGTTAATTCATCGGGTAGATGACTTACGAATCCCTTCTGAGCTAGCCATTGTTCGAACGTAACGCCTTACGTAACATAACACACATATTTAAAGAAAATCTATTCCTTCTACCAGCGCTGCAGACGAATTTAATACTATTTATTTACTCTATGTTTTTTCACTTTAACCTAAATAAGTTTCTTTCGTTTCTTATCTTGAAAACAGCATGGGAAAATTATATTGTTACTAGAATGCAGAACAAAATGCGAAGGTTTTTTTATAAATTCGAAATGCTACTATTTAAAACTGTCATTAAAAAGATTGATGCTATAGAACATTTTGTATTTGCAAGTTCTTAAGTTCTTAACTATACATTTATAATGTATTAAAATATAAATTATCACTTATATATTATTACATATTAAAATATAAATTATAAATATAATTATTATAGACACAAAATGATCAGTTTTAAAATATAAATAAAATTATTTTCTGTAAACATAACATTACTGCAATCTTACATGGAACTTGAAAATATGTTAGATTCCATCTAATTTCAGTCGTTAAATCAACTCATGAATATTTAGCATCTAAACATAATTATTTCATTACTAACAGAATTCATTTTCAAACTGAGACCGAGCACATTTACATTTCTGTACAATTTTTCATATGTAAAGTGCCTCTAGAAATGAGCTACTATTAGGCAAATGTTTAAAATTACTAATATTGACAGGCTTACGCTGAATCCAAAACTGCACATAAACGCTAGCTAGCCGCTAACACTTCCATAGATTAATAGAGCATAGATAATAGATAATATAATTCCATAGATAATAGAGCAATATTTTTTAAAAAGAGAGTACAAAATAAAATTAAATTAATATATAAAGGAAAGCAAAAATTGGAAGAAAAAGTCAGTTACAGTGTGTAAAACAAAATATCTTAAGAAATACCTGTAGTAACAGGTTGCTCTAAATCTAAAATTAGAAAGCTAATGAAAGAGGAGGTTGACTGCAAATTCTCTATTCTTTGAAAAATTAGTACGCAAAAAAAATTTTTAAAGTAATGTGCTTACTTGAATAAAGAAAGGAATATAAACATGAGGGGCTCAAAAGCAAAATCATGTAACCCTCTGAAGTTTTAATTAAGTTTTCAGTCTCTTACTAGAAGCATATAGAACAGCAGAAGATTAAAATGATTAGTGACTTGAACCATTTCGTTACGTGCTTCCCAGCAAGACTGGTGCACCTACATTGCATAGAGGGAAAAAAGAAAGACTGTAGTACGCGAGTTTCTGTCCTCAATTCCTTTTTAATCGGATATTTTTTCCCAATAAATATAAAAAAAAAATAAATAAATAAATAAATAATAAAAAATAAAAAATCTGAAATGTTTCAGATTTTAAATTACGTCCAAAGGGGCGTTTTTTAACATTTTGTGTGTTACCTTTCTTTATTAAATATCATGTTCCTCGCACTTAAACCATAAGATCCAGTGCAACAGCAATATCGCAAAATAGTTTTAAAACGAGCATATCTTTAGAATTTCCGATACAGAGACTCACGCGCTGGAGATAAAAATGTTTTTTTCTGCACAACGTTGCCATTGCTCGCTTTGAAATCCTTGAGTTTGTTAATTAAAAATTCGTCAAAGTTTTAAAAAATAGGAAATCGATCATAAAACAAATTTCAAATTTCAAATTTGGTCTTCCACATGCTCATATTCGTTGGAGGATTACGTTATTCAAAATTCGATGACTCTATGTACCGTTATTTTATGACAATGTGAGAAATATACATACATTTACGCAGATTTTCATTATTTAATTTCTTCAAATATAATGCAGGACTCTAACATTTTATGGCAACAGTTTGAAAAGTGAACCGACATTTATCCGTCCGACGCAAAATGCCAAAAAGAATAAATAGTTTCGGGACTCAAGTCCCTTTGGACTAATAAATATTTTTAGAGATCTACAATAGTATGAGTAAACTAGTGAACATGCCAATTTCATATAGTTTGCCAACAGATTTTTTTTTTTTTTTTTTAAATTTAAATACATTCCGAATGCAGCAAAAACATGTAAATACTAGTTTAAATTACGATTTATTTTGATAAAATAGGCAGATCTGAAATATTTCTTTTCATTTAAAATTTACCAAAATATAAGCACAGAAGTTTTTGCAGCCTTCAAAGGCAATAAGAGAAACATATAGAAATTTGAAGATTATCAAATTTGCATAAAAATAAGCAGCAATGTATATTGTACTACTGCAAGGTATTTCCGCTACCTTCTTTTGTTAGTTTTTGTACTGAAATCAGGTTTGTAGCCAGAGCTTGAATTGCGTCGGTTCTTCTAGTTTTAGGGATATATTCTTATTCTAGCCGGAGCGCACCGGAGCCCTAAATAAGAAGACTCCGGCACTTTTTTATGTAGCGGAATAATTATTTTAATAGAAATTTGATCTAGAAAAT